TGAGCTAAATAATAAATGGATAATCAAAATAACATTATATCAATATTCCTCATGTATTTAGAGACTACTATGCATGGTGCGTATATGGGCATATGTATGCTACTTATATAGGCATTTGTATGGTACCTATATTGGCATATGAATGGTACTTATATGGGCATTTATGGTACTTATAAGGGCATATGTATGATAGTTATAAGGGTATATGTATGATACTTATAAGAACATATGAATTGTTCTTATAAGGGCATAAGTATGGTACCTTTTTGGGCATATGTATGTTACTTATAAGAGCTTTTGTATGGTACCTCAATGGGCATATGTATTGTTCTTATATGGGCATATGTATGACACTTATATGGGATTGAGTATGGTACCTTTATGGGTATGTCTTTGGTACTTATGTACTTACGTACCTCTATGGTACTTACGTACCTTTTACCTTACACAGACAGTCATCCGTATTTTATAGATATAGAAGATAGACAATGATTAAATCAAGCAATAAAAACTTGACCAGCGGACGAAGACAAAGATGGGGTACATACAGCCCGCCGCCTGCAAAGAATCCCAGCCCTGGCGAAATCGTCATTTTTCACAAAACTCAAAATCAAAACCAGCCATAGAATCGTTTTGAAAATGGTATCATTGTGTTTACCACAGCAATTTACATTTCTTTCTGTAAAGTCTTTCTTTGCTAATTTTAAATATTAACGCCTATACAGCCATATTTACTGAGATACAGCCACCTCAAATATCAAACCTATCATCGTGTTTTCTCAACAAATTACTAAGGAAAATCAATTGTAAAAAAATGTAATAATGATCAAATTGAGCTAAATAATAAATGGATAATCAAAATAACATTATGTCTATATTCCTCATGTATTAAGAGACTACTATGCATGGTGCGTATATGTATGCTACTTATATAGGCATTTGTATGGTACTTATATTGGTATATGAATGGTACTTATATGGGCATGTATTGTACTTATAAGGGCATATGTATTGTAGTTATAAGGGTATATGTATGATACTTATAAGAACATATGTATTGTTCAAATAAGGGCATATATATGGTACTTATTTGGGCAAATGTATGTTACTTATAAGAGCTTTAGCATGGTACATCTATGGGCATATGTATGGTACTTATATAGGCACATGTATGGCACGTATTTGGACATTTTTTGGTTCTTATATGGGCATGTGTATGGTTCTTATATGGGCATGTGTATGGTACATATATAGGCATGTGTATGGTATGTATATAGTCATATGTTTGGTACTGATAAGGGTACATGTATGGTACTTACAAAGACTTATATATCGTTCTTATAAGGGCACATGTGTGTTACTTATATGGGCATATGTAAGGTACTTATAGCAGCATATGTATGGTACTCATATGAGCATTTGTATGGTACCTTTGTCGGCATATGTATGGTTCTTATTTGGGTATGTATGGTACTTATAAGGGAATATGTATGAAACGTATAAGCACATATGTATTGTACATATAAGGGCATAAGTATGGTACTAATTTGGGCATATGTATGTTACTTATAAGAGTTTTTGTATGGTACCTCAATGGGCATATGAATTGTTCTTATATGGGTATATGTATGATACTTATATGGGTATGAGTTTGGTACTCATATGGGTATGAGTTTGGTACTTATGTACTTACGTACCTGTATGGTACTTACGTACCTTTTACCTTACACAGACAGTCATCCTTATTTTATAGATATAGAAGATAGACAATGATTAAATCAAGTAATATAAACTTGACCAGCGGACGAAGACAAAGATGGAGCAAGTTAGGCGAGGTGGTGGTATAGGCCAAAACCATTAGTAGTTTCAAAGCGTTATATGACAGTGCTGGGTAGACGGGACACCACGAGTGTAGCTCTCATCCTGTAACTTAAGTAATTACACACGGGGTGACAGGTAAGCTTCTAACATGGATGAAAAATTTTCTGATAGAAAAACGAGGGTAGTAATCAGAGGCAATGTATTGGACTGGAGAAATGTCGCAAGTGGAGTACCACAGGGTTCAGTTTTAGCACTGGTGATATTCATTTTCTTCATAAACGATCTACCAGATGGAATACAGAATTATATGAACACGTTTGCTGATGATGCTAAGATAATACCGAAGATAAGAAACTTAAATGATTGTCATGCCCTTCAAGAAGACCTAGGCAAAATAAGTACAGTATATGGAGCACCACTTCGCATTTATTCACATTAAATTCCATTTGCCATGTTGTGGAATGTGTAATAGGAGAACACAGACCCCACACAACCTATAAATTATGTGAGAAATCTTTAAAGAATTCTGATAAAAGAAAGAAATCTAGGGTGGTTCTAGATAGAAAACTATCACCCGAGGACCACATGAAGAACATTGTGTGAGGAGCCTATGCCATGCTTTCTAACTTCAAAATTGCTAAGTTAAGGCAACAAAAGTGCCGAAAAAAACATTAGAAAGCTTTCTCTTGCAGAGAGGTAGAGGGCTGGAACAAGCTAAGTGAGGAGGTAGAGGCCAAAATTATCAGTAGTTTCAAAGTGTTATATAACAAAGCATACTGGGAAGACGGGACACCACGAGCATAGTTCTCGTCCTGTAACTTCACTTGGGTAATTACCTGGTAATCAACCAATAGGACAAATCATTTAGACAAAATTTGAGGTTACATTATTAGGGAAGATTTCCGATATTTTGAAAACTGCTGGCCGGCACGTGAAATAAGTTGGTCTCAAATCTTAACTTGTTTTATTATTTATAATGGGGTTATGCATAAACCTAGAAGAGGTTAGGTTTAGTGGTTTGATTATAATAATTAGAAAGTTAACAGTACACCCTGAAAGTGAATGACATGTTTACTGAATAAAGCACAATGTAAGTCATAGTTTCAAACAATCAGAAAGACAAATGTGCAAAACATGGACTATTTCCAAGTAGGATAGTTCATATCTTCTACGTAAACATCGTGAACCTGCCAGCACCTTGTTCTGGTGTTTTTTTTTTTTTAATTAGTAGCCATATTTGAAGCTTTTCTTGAACATTGTTTCATTCACTATTATGATTAATCATTTTAAGAGGAAATGCATCCATTACCTTCATGTAAAGGCAAATACAGTGCCTGTTAATGGGTCTGCTTCCCTATATATTATAAGTAAGGTTACAGGCTTTTTAAGGTTCTGTTCCTGGCACTTTCTATTACCAATGTTTTTGTTCACAGCAGCATCTATGCTCAAAGCTTTAGTAACAGTATCCCTCTCACATGATCGCCACTATTTTTGTGTTATGGGTTGACTACCAGTCTCTCGTGATGGTCGTCCATAATGGTGAGAATGTTACAGCAAAATAATTTAGATTGAGTTTTGTGAAGATGTATCATGAACAGTGACATACTTGTTAGTATGTACACTGTGGCTATGCAGAGATTTAATCTACAAAATCCAGGACCAGTGTATTGACCATAGTGGTGAAGATTTTACAATACATGGAGACTGGATCATTTTTCACTGACTGTCTAAAAAGTATGTATATGTATGTCTGTACGTGTTATTCAATATGACAATGAGTAAATGATTCTAACTCTATATCTTTCTAATATACTACTTGAGAAGGAAGTTTAAAAATTAAGTTCATTTTAGTTTTATGTGGCCTGATGCTAAGAGAAGCTTTTCATTGATTGTCAACATTTTTGAAGACAGTGGTCAAGTGGATACAAATTAGCTGGAGCAATTGTATATATGCATTTACTTTAGCCAACACTGGTTTCAAAATCGACTGTTAAACTGAGTGGGACAATAAATCAGAGATCCTTAACCCTTGCACTGCTCACCTATTTTCGGCAAAAACGTCTTGGTGCAATTGACAAGGACATATTTTTGTTATTTTTACAAATGTTCAGGTAAATTTAATGTCAAAATGATTCCAAAGTCAACTATTTCCATTTCAAAACACAAATAGTAATGAAAACATTAAAAACATTAAAATATAGCCAAATTAAAAAACAAAAAGCACAACTCTCTGAGCGCCTACAGGTGCTTTGCGCAGTGCAGTGGTTAAAAGGATTATTTTGGGGGTATCTCTATGAACCATAAGCCAACCAAACTGGATGATTGACTTCTAGCTACATTTATATAAATCTTACTGATGTAAAAATTTTCTTTAATACAGTCATAGTCAATGATGTAAGATATGTTTTATGATTGTGCTACACTCTTGCTGTATTGTCACAAGTTTTTGTGTATTTATCATGGTTCCTTAATATTTAGTGATAACCTACTATAGGTTGTACATGTCATACATTAAGTGCCACATTTGGCAATTATACACCTTTATGAAATGCTTAAAATTGTAGACAAAGGGCCTTCAAATTTTATTCTAATTTAGTATATGTATATTTTGTTTTATTATATGTCAAGTATCTTCATTGAGCTACTGAATGTGTAGCTTTGTTGTGGGCATTATTGGAGGAATAAATTACTGTACCTTAATGATCCATCACGGTGTTTTGTGAACACTTGCCAAATTCACACACATTTTATGCCAACTATTTTCACTGGACTGTGATAGTAGCACCAGCCAAAATGTAGAAAATTGATGCCTAACCCAATTTTGTGCTGTAAAGCCTGCCTAAACTACCAAAATTTGTGTAATTATAACAACCGTCTTTGTTTACATGTGAACAAAGTTTTTGTGTGGTTTACAGGATGAATGTACGACATGTTAACTCATCCAAGTTAGGTAATGTTGCTTCCTTGTACCATGAGAACAGTAGTTGGTGCAATTCTCACAGTACCATGAAAAAAGTACAATAGTTCTCAACCCAACATTAATGGGCATATACTAGAAATGTTAACATTGATACTGAGATAATTAATACATGTTTGCTCAAGAGTTATGTCTTCAAACTTTTGATTAATATAGAAGTGCAGTATATTATTTACATGTAAATTATAAATAAAATGAAAAGTCTATATAAATTTTATTAACATAAAAAATATCCAAATTTTAGAACCGTACATAATGAAAAACATGGAAGATGATCAAATGCTCGAAGGTTACAAGAAATACAATATGAATTAGAATAAATCATATGTCAACTCGAGCTTTTGAAAACAGCATCTAATACAGTACTAGTGTCAGAGATCATCTCGGGCGACATAAATATTTGACTAAGCTACTGTTAACAAACAATCCCTCGGAAGGTGGCAAGGCACTTGCAGACAGATTATACAGAATCTGTCACATTAGTTAGGTTAACTTAATGAGTGTTTTATCTGTGGCATTTTAAACTGAAAGCAACAGCAGGAAAGCTCTTTATAATTAATGTATTTTACTGTATATTATTTCATAAGTTTTAAATACCTCTAATAGACAATCATCTAATATGGTAAACACTTTGAACACAAACTGGCATACAGCTATGTCTACCTGTATAAAAAAAAATATTGTATGTGTGTAATGTCGAACACCAGCAAAGTATCTGACAATAAACCCTTTGTGGATCATGATCACAAAATTGCTTCACCTGACCAGGATAATAAACATCTGTGCAACAATTTCATTTAGTGGTACTAATAACAATTATTTAAGGCATGTCAATCATAATTAACTCAGTTTCTAAGATTCAAAAGTAGGCAGCCCTGTATGCTCTTGGCTAGTGGAACTGATTAGTCCACACATGCCTACACCAGATATAATCTGTGGTCAATTCTTCTTGGAGCACAAATCCCATACCCCTTCCCCTCCAAGATATAATGGTACTCTGAGTCAACAGAACTCTTCAAATACTGAATAATCTTAACTGGGTACAAAAATTTAAAAAATAACTGTCCTGAGAAAACCCTGTCAGTTTTAGTGTATGAAATAATTACTACTCTGTAATATGCAGAGCATAGCACTGTACAAGGATTACAATAAATCGTCAAACTATATATGCAGTGCAATGAGGTGGTACTTTAAGATGTTACAGTATTTACATTTGTTGTTATGCATGTAAACAACTGTGTACGCCTCGGTGACAAAAATGACAGGTAGTGTTAAGCCTCACAGAAACCACACAACAATAACATTCTTAGCAAACTTATATTCTTAGCAAACAATAAGATTTTTAGCAATAAGATTCTCAATGGTGACTACACACATCCGGAGTCAAGATTAGCAGCAAATATGCTTACTAGAAATTTTGTTAATGTCATATTTTCCATATTACACCTAATTACATATTAAAATTTAATTAATTTAGTTCCAGTTAGTACAATGTTAAGAAATGCCTTTTTCACTTGAATAATAAATCAGGTATAGTCCTTCCCACGAACTAAATACCTGTACTGTACTATAATTTCAACAGACAAAAGAATATATTTACACAGATGGAATTAGCATGTGTAAATGTAGCTATATTATGCTTTAACAAGTTAGGAACAAGCACAATGCTACTTTTTGCCATTTGTATTGTCTTCGGAAAAAGCATAAAAGAAAGAAATCATGAAATCAATATACAGTACAGTGTAGTGTGTGTGTGTGTATACAAGTATAAAAATTTACATTTTTTTACTAGTAAAACAAAGAATTCTATGGAAAACTGCCAAGAGATGAAATATATTTATATTACTCAGTGTATAAAATTAAAATATATATAACATAAAATGAATGCAGATTTTTTGACATAAGAGGAAGAGACATTTCTAGTTGTACTCATTTATAAATTGTTCCATAATTATCATCATCACCAATACATTTAAAGCCAAAATAATTTAATTCTTTAAGACACTATAGCTTAATATAATTCATTTGTATTATATAATTGGAAATAAATTACAAAATATCATCCTATGAAAGAGATATACAGTAAAATTTTCATACTTGCATTACTGATATTAAGTGATGTGAAAAGTCTTGCTTTGCTGTGCTTTCCTATCTTCTTGTGCTATAAAACATTAACCCCATCCCTAAATAAAGATTTCTATCTGTGGTATCCCAAGTTTTGTTTCATAATGTCTATATATCACATATTTTCTTATCAAACATTTTAGTTCAACAATGATACAGTCTAACAGTACAATGCAACTCTTACATTCAGCATTTTGGTAGTACTGTAACTCCAAAATTCTGAGATTTTCGTAGACTTGTATTAATAATTTCAGTTCATAACTATGCCTTTTGACAAATGTTTGTTTTATATTAGAAATGATTTATGTGATGACTGGTAAAAAATCCTCTGACATTATGAACATGGATTCCACTGCTTTCCCATGTGACAGCCAGTTGGTAAATTCACCTTGAACAACACCTATTTACAATGTTAGAGTAACAATATCTACAACAGCGGCACATACTAAAACGAGATTCCAACTGACCACACTACCCTCAAAAATTTCCCATATAAATATTAACCCTGCAAAGTTAAACAAAATAATAAATAGTCAAAACTTTCAACATGTTAGAAGAGCTTTGCTTGAATAAACTCTGCACATTTATAACTTTCAGCATGATGCAAAAGCACACACTAATATGAAGTATAAAAAATCTATTTCTTAAGACAAGTTTCTCTAGTAAAAAGAATGCACCAAGTATCTAGTGCTGATAGGCACTAGAAACTGAAAGCGAGAGAAGAGAACAAGAACAAGTTTGCGGTTTTGGTAGTCCATATTAAGTCACCGTGCAAACCTGCGACAAGACACTGGTAACCCTTGAGCGGTCATGACAATATGTGTAGAACGTCAATAACCTTCAGAATGGAGGCGATGTTCAGTCGGTCAAGACTTGTAATTTGATTACTGTACTTCAAATCAAATACCAGCCAAGCAGAGCACAAGCTTCAAGCAACTGGGCCAACAAGCCAATTAGAGCTGAAAATTTTGTTTAAAGTGTTGAAGAAACTAACTAGTTATCAACTGCCAATGGCAGAACAATGCCTCATATACCTAAAAACACAACTCCTTGACATAACTATTTTTTCTCAGAAACTTGACTCCCAACTTTGTTTGGCAATGTTAATAGTAGAAAAATATTCTATCTGAACAGCAGATCCTAGCATATTAGAAAGTAATGATAAAATTGCACACAAAGCAAAAAAATGTCTATCAGCAAAGAGACCACCTCTCTCTAGAATCTAACATTATATAAAATAATATGGCATTTTCTCTACTTCCGCTGATAGAAATGAGGATTTTGCAATTGCTAGTTGTGTATCGTATGCACTACAACCAGAGGTTTGCAAGCAATGTGCTTCTTGACAATGCAAGAAATAACATACAAACAATGAGAATCTAATGAAGCCTCACTTTATTACCATAAGGAACCAAGTGTTGCACTATTTCCTTGCAAAGTACCTTAAAACGTATAGCATAAATCAAGAATATAATTGGAACTCAAGCATTTTTGCCTCTAATAAAATGTTGTATATAAAACAAACTCAAATTTTCCAGAATTCCGTAATGTGTCACACCACAGAACAATACTTATACATACCGTATAGAGTGAGCAACATCATGAGCGTTTCACTTTTATCTGTGGTTAATTAATAACTTGGAATTCTTTCGTTTGTGCAGATCTCATATAAATAACAATTGTTATGCTATATATACAAAACAAATTGGGTAAAATGGTCAAAACCTGTTTTAACATACTGGTAGCCAGATATCATGGGAAAAACAAAACATATTTGCACTCTTTTAAAGTCATTTGGCACTTTAAGAAAAAAGGTGATAATTTTGTCTGAGGTCAGAAGTGAACTGTTTGTGATATATCCGTGAGGTGCACAAATAATATCCTCATTAGCAGACTTGCTCTAATGCAATGCACTAAAAAATAAAGCAGTTAATAATTTATTTTATAATTGTTAATGTCAAAACCAAAAAACTGCCATTTACTCTCCTGAGAACCAAAATCTCAAGGAAATAACAGCTAGTTTGGCTCAGGCAAACTGTTTGTTAACTTCAGTTTAAGACGGTACAAAAAAATATTACGCTATAATATCAAAAGGGTACGTACACTTCCATTACTCTACTATCACAAAAAATATTTTTGGATTAATATCTAACAATCTTCTTACATCATTAAAAACAAAAACAATATAAAACCATATTGTTACATGGCTATAATAACATTAAAGGTGAGAGAAGAAAACGTGTTCACTAGTGACGAGAACTCGTTAGGGGATCACGAAGACTTGATTTTCCCATTGGTAAGTGTACTTGTGAGTGCCTGCTGCGCTGCTTGTTCTGCTGCCTCCTTCAAGTGCTTTTCCATGTATGTTTGGTAAACAGGGTGTATGACCTGAAAATAATATAAAGGATATGAAATGCATTTTACTTCCATTTAGTTAATAATATAATAAATTCTGCATTATGATAAAACTAAGAGGTTGACAATGGTTACACGAAAGATAGTTATGACAAATAAAACACCAGTGCAGAATGCAATGAAATGCCTCTTTCCATTAGTCCCACGGTGGCTCCCCCATAAAACTACAATAAAAATCCTAATATTTATGAAGCAGAGTAGGGAGACACACAAGTCAGGTGTGTCAGCAATATTAATCAGCACAACAACTCAAATATCAGCTAGGCTTCGAGTACATGACCAGAATGCATTTTGCGGAGAATACTGTACCTGTATTTATTTAATTCATCAGAACTACTGTATATCTTGAGGTTATCTTGAAGTATATAATAAATGGTCAACTCTTGACACAATGACCATAAATATTACAGAGCAATCCATTTCAGTTATTTTATTACCAAGTCCACAGCCAAACACTGGTTGAAAAAATAAGAAGAGGCCTCACTAGAAGATGCACCATGAATTTTCAGGTGTTGAGAGACAGAAACAGATATTTGCTTTGTAAATGCACTAACCAGTGCTTTAGTGACAAGCAAGCTGTGAAATATAGAAGGTATTTCTATATTATACTTCAGAATTTCAAAAGTAGACTGCAGCTACTTTTGAGAAAAAAATTAGTAAAATGCCATACAACAAATATGAAGGAAATCAGTGGTTAGTGTATAACTAGGAGTGACCAAGCTGTGGGGGGGTCACAGTGACTTTTGCTAATACAGTAAGTGTTAGGGGCCACTTTATCATAAAGTGTTATGAGATACTTTGACAAAGTGCACAAGAATGCAGAAATTAGTGAGAAAATTAAATGACTCGATAAAAAATATGGGGTGAATTAAGTGAATTTTTCACTGATATTGCATGATGCCATAAGCCTGCATTCTCAAAGGTAATGTTTGCATGTATATAACAAGAACCAACTCCTGAAACTAACCAAATGGTTGTAATACCAGCCAACTCCCCCCCCCCCCCACAAAAAGATCAGAGTACAAAATAACTTAATTAGTAAAGTGGCAACCCAACATTTCAGTCATCTGGACAGGGTCATGCCCTGATAACCTTTCACCAGCACCATGTTGCATTTAAGTAGCCAGACCTTCAGCATGCATCTTGCAAAAGTAATAAGTAACTGAAATATACAACAGTATATGACCCAAAATGAAGAATTAGTAGAATGCATACACAGACTAGCATCACAATAAGGATGAGGTAGCAACTTTTTTAAAATGCCAAGCCAAGACCACAGAATAAAATACAATTAAACTAAACAATATTGTTCAACTGAAGGTGCTCATTTCTATTACAACAGCTGTGTCTACTTGAAAGCTGCTCCCCCCCCCCCACCTTACCAGGGGATCAAAGTGTGGTGCATCACATTTTGAACTCTGAGCATAGTAGGGTTGTGGTGCACCGTCTATCAAGGCAAAAGCAGTCCCTGCAGGACCCCTTTTGCTGCTGGGGTGTCGTCAGGAACCACCTACTTTTGGAAGGCCATAGTGGGATGTTTGCAGCCCTGGTCGACCACAGTCCACAGCAACCTAAGGGGGCCTGATAGCTGAGTGGACAGTGCTCTGGACTCATAATCCTAGGGTCCGGGTTCAATCCCCAGTGATGGCAAAAACAAATGGGCAGTTTCTTCAACCCTGATGCCCCTGTTACCTAGCAGTAAATAGGTACCTGGGAGTTAGACAGCTGTTACGGGCTGCTTCCTGGGGGGAAAGATAGCAATAACAGTTGAGAGGCTGGCTGAAAGAGCAGAGCTCGACCCTACAATCACAGCTAGGTGAAGTAGGGGAATATCTGCAAGCTATTTGTCTGCCTAGCTACACTACACCCACATTTGGAACATTTTGGACATTGGTGATTTGGGTGACCCAGTTACTGTGTGTAAATTCCCAATCCTCTACTTGTCAGAGGTTCATGCTTACATCCACTATATGTTTTCACATGCCAACATTGACTGTGGTCAAACAGGCAGTGTCAAGCCAATAGTGTCTTCGACCATGAGGCCGCTCATTTCCATTTCACCATTCCTGATTCAGGGATTGGTCTCCTACCGCTTTCAGTTAGTACTCTTTGGGCTGAATCTGGCTCATTTTTGGGTAAAAAGAAAAGAAGTTAGTTTCAGCAAGGGCCCCATTTTGGTTTGGGCTTGGTTATCAGTTTCCATCATTACATCACCACTAAATGGACTCAACTTTGTACCGTTATATCCAGTCTTTCTCATCCCACTCCAAGTCGTCATCTTTGAATCCAAGTATCTTAGTGAAATGTATTACAGTACTGTACTGTGATTTTCAGAAACTCACCACACATTAGGTGCTTTATTACATGTCCTGTTCTGACAGCAAGAGCTTTGGATTTCTGCCTCCTCGGTGACGTTTTTGGATGGCTCTTCGTCCAGATTAAAAAAAAAATTTTAGGTGAAAGTCTGAGGGTTTGGATATTTTAGGCTTTCTAATACAAATTGCTTTCTGGCTCCAGTCTGCAGCACAGGCAAATCAAACCCCTATTATGAGTTTGAATAATAGTCAAAGTCTTGCCTAATAGCACAAATTAGTACAGTACAGTATAGCTCAGAAATCAGGTACTGTATTGAGTATACAGTACAGTACTGATATATATGATGATCCTATCTAAGCAACAATTTGTAATTCCCATTTCTTCCCTTTTATCCCTTTCCCCTGTAACTTATAGAAAAGGAAAACTGTGTGTGTACTGAATCCCATTTAGGTGTTCCCAAGGCACATTAATTTTCGGTTTTCGAACTGTCTCTGGGAACGGATTAAATTAAAAAACGGAGGTACCACTGTACAATAACAGACCACATTGGACAGTCCAAGAAAGCCCAGCACGTAGCTGAAAAGCTCTGGGACCTGCCATGACGTACTGATGACTCTACAGCACATGTGTTTATACTTCATTAGTAACAGAACTGATTGTTCCAGTTGGTGGACAGCATGAGCCCTGCCCTCCCCTCCCCCTCCACAAACAAGTGGGAAGGGTGGGAGAATGAGGGCATGCTTGTTTCAAGAGATTTGATCATTTGTTTACACTGTTTAGTGAGTTCATTTGGCAGGTTGCAAGGCTTCGGTCTCTCTCTTAACCCAGTAGAGGCCTTCATTGGTTCACTAACTTTCTGGATGCCTATCCCAGTAAGGTGGACCAAGTCCTAGCTCTGGTTCATAGTTGGCTGAACAGAACTCCACGGCTAATATGATTTTGTGGTAGGGAGCCTTCTTAGTCAGATGGATTCAGGGAGCCACAAGTAACTTCCCCCAGAAAATCCAAAAACATCTCTACCAAGGATACTTAATAAACAGAGAATAAGTTACAAAAACATGTTGACCAGAACACACACAAGAAGGTGAAGGGACGAAGACGTTTCGGTCCGTCCTGGACCATTCTCAAGTTGATTGTCGACTTGAGAATGGTCCAGGACGGACCGAAACGTTGTTGTCCCTTCACCTTCTAGTGTGTGGTCTGGTCAACATACTTTAGCCACGTTATTGTGACTCATCGCCTGCATATTAACATCATGCAGTTCAATTATTAATTTTCAATACCGAATACATCCCCTTCCTCCTCCCTCTTCTACTCCTAACTTAGTGCTGGTACACTACTCACTAGGAGGATGCATCTGACAGTTGCATCTCTCTTCACTCTTCAACTTTGATACAAAATTTTCACAGTGCAAGGTGCCTGTGTTCTGGAATACATCAGTGATGACATTTACAGTCATTACACTGGTAAGGTAAGATAATTATCAGAAGAAAGTGATAAATCATTACAACTATATAGCACTTGAAAGGGATATGAAAACAAGGATTTGGGAGAAGATGGAGAAAAGTAATGGTGACCAACCATTTGGACAGTCGGGATTGAATGCCGACCTACAAGAAGCGGGACCGTAGCTCTACCGTACAGTCCAAATGGTTGGACATCATAACAAAGGTGTATTATTTGGATATATTAAGGTCTTACCTCTGTTCCTCTGGTCTTCCATACTAATAATTTCTTAAAAATGATGCACAAACTTGGCACATATCATATAACTGCAACAACTTTCATCAATACCGACAGCACTTATATTTTTGAGATCTTGTTCTCCCCAGTGAGCTTCCCTCCAAAGGGGCAGCACCACAGAAAAGCCTTCATGCAGATCCAAAAATGTTCCTCTGGGATGATTTATACTCCTTATGCCAGCATGAAACCTGTCCTCTATGTAATCTTCCTTATTCTTTGTTCCATTATTTTTCATCTAACCAAAATGAAGAAAATGGCACAAGATATGACTTTTTTACTTTGGCAGGGTGGTGTTGGCGGGGAGGTGTTGGCGGGGTGGTGTTGGCGGGGTGGTGTTGGCGAGGTGGTGTTGGTGGGGTGGTGTTGGCAGGATGGTGTTGGCGGGGTGGTGTTGGCGGGGTGGTGATGGCAGGGTGGTGATGGCGGGGTGGCGATGGCGGGGTGGTGATGGCGAGATAGTGAAGGCGAGGTGGTGTTGGCAGGGTGGTGATGGCGAGGTGGTGGTGTCAGGGTGGTGATGGAAGATGTTGCTTACCCATGCAACAAATTACAAACAGCTGACTCCCAATACAGTACATACAGGTATTTTCATTTATTTATTTATTTACTAAGGGAGGGGGGAGGTACCTGGCATTTCCCAGGTGTGTGTGTTTCTCGTCTACCCATCTATTCATCCACCCATCTATCTTTTCATCTATCCATACGTATAGGAGGGTACCCAGCAGTGCTCAGGTGCCCTTCTTTCCCACACTCTCCTCGACTTAATGTCAAATGAAAAAAACAATTTCAAGACAGTTATTTTTAGTGACCACAGTGGTGTCAAATTTAACTCGGTAAAGAGGTTAAATCGACCAGCCTATATCTGTCCAGTACCCCAGACCATTTGACCTACAAAATTGGGTAAGGCTAGCCCA